TTCAAAAGAATATCTCAGGTCCATAACGACGTCATAAATACCATTAATGACGAACCTAATTTTCACAGGAAAAATTACACTAAATACTTCAAACAGAAAATATGAAAAATATATATAACTTTAATTTTTTACCATATAGATAGGAGAAACAATTTTAATTGATTGATTTGGATTCAAGGTGTGTTTGGGGTGACAGATAGAATTAATTATTTTGAAAAAATAGATTTAAGGATGATGATAGTGGGTAGCAAAAATAATTCATATATTTCAAAAAATGTCTACAGCTTTTCAAAATTTCAAACATAACAAAATATTTGAATTTTTATTTTCGAAATTTTTATTATTCCGATTTTACCCTTGTAATATCTTATATATATTCAATGTATATATGTATGTGATATACATCTAATCTACATATGATATACATCCGATATACCTTTAATATACTTCCGACATACCTCCGATGTACTCCTGATATACATTATCAGATGTACTCATGATATACATTATCAGATGTATGTATTATACCTCTAATATATATATCTAATGTACCTCTAATTTACGATATACTAAATATATTTGCAACTGATATACTAAATATAACGTATATAAAATGTTTAATTTTTAGTGGTATATCAGCTGTTTAAATTCTAGTTTACCATTGCAATTTGTTGATTGATATTCTAAAATTATCAATAACGTTGATTGCTATATCACTAATATTTATTCTATATTAATATTAATTAGATACTAAATATAAGAGATATCAATTGTTTAAATTTATAAAGTATATCAAAATTTTAAAACTTTTTTTTACGTGCATGATCCACATGAACCTTTCATATAATAACTTTATATTAAATTTTTTTTTGCACCATTGTTTTCATATGAAAAAAATATTGGATATAATAGTATTATATCAACACACATGTATCATAATTATATTAGTAGATATCATGGTTATATCAGAGGTAAATTAGAAGCATATTAAATATATATCAATGTTATATTAGTAGTAAATCATATAATCATATATAAGAAGTTATATAAGTGGTATATCATTTGTATATCAATGGTAAATTAGAGACATATCAATGTATATATCACAGATAGATAAATGTTGTATCGACTGGTTATCATAAGTATATCAGTGATAATCGTATTAGAAGTTAGATATCATAATTATATAAGAAGTAAATCGATTGTATATCATTATTATGTCAGTGGCAGATCATAAGCATATATTAGATTGCAGATATATTACAGATGTATATCAGATATATTGCAGGGTAAAGTTGTAACTTTAAAATTGGACCTCCGTTTTTTGTTGAAAAAAATGCTATATTTGAAAAAACTAAATGTGGTTGCTATTTTGCTTATTTTACTAAATATTTTTGTCATATTTGCAACTATCCTTAACTTCGTATTTATGTAAAGCGTGATAAGATTTTAGCATAATTCAGCGATAATTGACATATGTATCAAATTAAGAGGTTGTGAGTTCGATCCTCCATCCCCACTTGTACTGAAAAAACGTGTTTAGAATTTAATTACCATAATGCCCTGTGTTAAAATAAAATACACAGTACAATACAATGACGTAATGTAAATAGATGTTTTAATTTTTTTTCTAAAGAAACTTTTAAAACATAGTGTGGTTGCAATTCATTTAATAATATCGAGATAAACCATATTTTTCAAGAGTTGGAAAATAACATTTCATGGTGCATGGTGGGAAATTGAACATATTGGAATGATGAATAATGTTTCCACTGAGATGTTTTGTGTATTTTGGACCTGGTCAATATCTCATTTTTCACAAAATTTAATTTGTTTTATTCATCTCAAATCCACAACGACATGATAAAATACCATTAAAGAATTAAATGAAATACTTCAAACAGAAATTATGGATCAAATATATAAACATTTGGATCAAATATATAAACATTTGGACTATAACCTATCATAAATATAGAATGGGTAGGTAGGCAGGGGCGGATCTACTGTAGGTCGAAGGGTGCTCGAGTCCCCTCAACTTTGAAACGTTAGGATTATTACAAACTAATGTTTCAACTAGACATAAAAATTCTAGATTGGCTTAGTGGAAAATGGGTCTAAGCCCCCTCTCAGTTGCCACTGTAGATAGGAGAAATTTTTTTTGATAATCCTTCGTAGATTTCTTTCCTTTTTTTTAGATGAACTTAACTGATTCATTTGGATTTATCCTACGCAAACAAATGGTGTAGCTAGAATGTTTTCCGAGGAGTTTAGTTTTATATTTTATATATGTGGAGGATAAATTAGAAGACAAGTTTTAAAATATAACATTTTTCCTTCTTATATAGTAATTAATCTGATCTTGAATGTAAGAAAAGGGTAATTGTTCTTGCTCAACAAGGCTGGCATGGGTTCTGGTTTCAAAGATGGAAGGAGGTCAGACATTTGGCAAACCCATAGCCTATATATGAAATCAAATAATTAAACACATTGTATCAATCAAGAAAAAGATGGAGATAAATTATAACCTAACTATATTATGTGGGTAATATTAATTTAATTGGTGAAAGTTAATTATCACAGTTGAAACACATGTGATGCACTTGAAATTCTATATTTTTTAAAGTATAAAAACAAAAAATTAATTACATAGAAAAAACACATATTCATGGATTTTTCATTATTTTGTTTGTTCCGAAATATAACGATACATAAAAGTAAATAAAACTTTGTTTTAATTTCTTATTTAAATCATTGAAAAAAAGAATGATACAGGAAAAAAAGCATGTCGTCTGGTAAGTTTTTTGAATAAATTACTTATATATAGTAGGTAGTCAAATATTTTTTGAAATTACTGTTATTAACATTGCATTGAAAGAAAAACTAAAAGTTAAACGTTAGACTAACAATCTAACTATAATATAAGATAACACAGGAGATTGATTAAAGGACAAAAACATACCAAAGGATAAAGAATTCTTAAGTTTTGGTGAGAAAAAAAAGTAGGGAGAAAGAGTAAGGAAAAAAAAACTCTTTATATAGTCGTAGAAAATAAAAAGTTACCTTATTAATTATAGTTAAACATAAGTTATAATAAATAGTTAAACATAAGTTATAATAAATTCATAGAAATAAAAGAGAAAAAACTATACATATTCTAACTCTTAAAAAAAAAAGATAAATTGGAGGAAGTGGTGTGGCAGGGAAACAAACTTGCAGTATGACTTAACAGATTCTTAAGTCATTTGGAGTAGTAAGAAACAAACCTGCATAGCCTTGTCTACAATGAAAGCTGAATTTGTGACACTTTCAACAGCGGTACAAGACAGCAGTATGACTTAAGAAGTCATTTGGGATTTAAAGAAAGTACGCCAGACTCAGTATTTGTAAATTGTGATAGTCAGGCTGTCAAAGCTTTCACGAAGATCCCAAATATCACTTTAAGATAAAGCACATAGATATTAAATACAATTTTGTTAGAGATATGGTTGAACAAAAAGAAGAGAATGTGCAATATATATCAGCAAGCAACATGGTTGCGTACACCTTTACGAAGCCTATTCCTAGAGATGTTTTTAATAATCATATTAAATCTTTAGAATTGCGAAAGCTTTAACTATGTGGTTCTGAACAAATTGTATTGCTTATTTGAATTATGAAATAAAATTTGGTACTTTATTATGCATACATACACAAAATGTATAAATTTTATGAGAAGTATGTTGGACAGTAGATTGATTCTCTCACACGAGTAATCGCTTCTTTGATTGTGTGCCAGTTAGAAATGAGACGATTGTATTGTTGTAACAACACCATCAATATGAAAGTATATGCTAGCTTGAAATGAGATATTGCCTTGATATGTGATCAAGATAAGATCATATTATGATCGAAGGTGACATATCCCATAAATTGTGGTTGAATGCCAGGTGGAAGTCCTGTTATCATTAGTTGATATAATATTAAGGTAGAGTTGTGGACTCAAGTTAGATATTCAGTATATCTAAACTATCATCTATACAATATTTAATTGAGACATATATACGCTTTAATGAGAAATAGTAAAATACTCTAACATGTTTCATACCACATGTGCACAATTTGACCACCAAAGGTAGCAAAAGTTAATTGATTTCTACTTCTTCATTGTGTGAGACCCATGAAGATTAAGAAATCTCCATAAGTACCATTACAACATTTTTTACTAAAATTTAGAAGTTTTAATACAATGGTCATGAAGGATTCAATCTAATGGGATCTACCAATAGTTGTTTTGGGATGAAAATCTTCTAGAAAAGGGAAGATCATTTTTGGGTGTTATATTATAGTGTATTCACACAGGTCGTCCAATTATATTTTTGTAATATAATTGTGAACACACATATATAAAATTAATATTTTAAAAGAGACCATGAGTTGTGATAAATGTGACTAGATGACTCTAGGACACTTCATAGTGACTTTACTCAATTATCCAAGTTACTTTACACACTTAACAGTTGTAAAGTGACTCGTTCTCGAAATTAAAGTATGATTGGTCACACAACCTATTTTCTTGTATGAAATTTTTATGCTGGTGAACTGGAATATATATATTTCCTATTTTTTGAGACATGAAAGAGCCTCATAAGAGGATGATGAGACGTATTGATTTTTTTGTGGTCCGCCTATAATGAAAGTATATTATGTGGAAGTGGGAGATATAAAATTTATAAATTATTTAAATTTGATGTAAATAAAAATTCTAATTTATTTAGATTTTAATTTTGAATTGAGGTAACTGCCCTTCTCCAACTTCTACCATCTAAAACATAGAGAAGATTTCTAGTCCTCAAATTATTCTTTACGCAGCATGAATCATGAAAGATTCAGGGTTTGTGATTTATCTCCAATGGTTACTTGATTTATCGAAGGGTTTATTTTATACTTTTTAAAGATTGTTATCTTTGAAAATACTCAAATTTTTTTTGTAGTACAGTACACATACAAGATAATAAATATAACACTAACACACATCAGTTAATATGCATAAATATGGAAACAATTCAAACATTATAACACACATTCGATTTTCAATTATTTGAGTGAAAATAATTCATAGCATAATTATAACATAAAGATAAATGATGTGCCTGCGGGCTGCTTGCCTTTGATCCTCAAGGGTAAGTGTACTCTGCAAATTAAATTAAAACCATATACACATATTTTAATGCTATTATATTGATAATATATTTACTTTAGTTTATTGAATCCCTTAATAAACTATTGAATAACAAGAGATAAAGATATTATATCAAATATATTGTTGAGATTAATGAAGTATAGAACTTACCTAAATGAATAAACATGATTAATTGTTTTTTTTTCTGAAAAAAAGCACACACACAAATAATCATTTTAATTAATTATATGTTTTAATAATTATTGGATAACATGTTTAATTTATTTTAATGATTATTACAACCTCTATATTTATGACGCTTTAGATTAGGTAAATCAATTATTAACGATGATACATTACAGACTTGATTCTTGAATCATAAACCATTGACTAACTATTCCTTTTTCCATGGCGAATCATATTGTTCTATATTGTTTTTAGTTAATTATAATATTGTCTTAAACTTGATTTCAATTATAATGGGTACGGGTGTTCACGGGTTGGGTTGGGTTGATTTTCTTATTCAGTTCCATTGGTTCTCTGCTCTACCTAACCCGAAAATTCGGATTGGTCCAAAAAACTCCTCTAACCCAACCTATCCCATGAACACCCGTGCCCCATTATCAATGAGTATTTACAAACCAAATCTATTAAAATTATCAAATCATAGGAAATGATCTGCAACAATCTTTTTTTTTCTTTTTCTTTTTGGTGTCTCTCAATTTTCAATATATCTATTATAGTCTTTAATTTTTTGAAAGGAAAAAAAAACAATTTTAATCATCAAATTTTCACAAGGCCTATTTTACACTTCTAGTTTTTTACTTAAAAAAGTGCAACTATTTTAGTTCTGGTTAATAGAATTTTATCATCCAATATCCACCCATATACTTTAATTATCCGTACCTCAGCTTGACTGCAATGGATGTCAATACATCAAAATGTTAAAACACAAATTTAAAACAATGATATAAAAATAAAGGATATAAAGACTAAAATACAGTTTTGAAATGTTAAACGTCATGAATATGTGGATTGAATAATGAGCTTACTTCCACACTTCTTGCCGGCGGGACGGTTTTTGATGTTACAGCGTTTTGGGATGGTAAGCCCAATGGCTGGGTTGACTCCTTGTTTTCTAGTCTTGGGAAAAAGGAGAATGGCACAAAAGCATTTTGGAGTAGTTTTAAGCATGGCCGCCACCCTGCTGCAGCATTCCGGCGAGACCTTAGCCTTCACATCCGCCACCGCCCCCGTGCACGATATCAGGCTATACGCTGCCGATCCTATCGTCATCTTCCCGCACACTCCGGCCGCCGCGGCTGGGTGAATGAAAGCCTCAGAAGCCACCAGAATCAGAAAGCCGGCCGCCACAACCAAAGCCTTGCAAGTACT